GCAATATGAAGGCTTGCAGAGGGTGCCTGTGATATGAATTTGGAAGTGATTACACCATTACACTGCCGTCACTCTCATGACATGTTTGTGGAACCCGCCCAGGTTCATGTCATCTTTGCAGCGACAGCAGATGAGACACAAGTACTTTGTGGTCAAGCTCTCGCTGGACGCCTCAACGTGGTTGCAGATCTCTCGTCCCAGGTGCAAGGGGAGCGGTCGGATAGTTGTTGTAGTTAATTGTAGTTGTTGAGTTACAGTGTTACAGTTACAGCATGGCTTTCGTTGATGAGCAGTTGGGGTGGTTGTTTCGGTCCTAGCTGTCCTAGCTTTTGCGGTGCTGTGTCTGGGGGCGGAGTTCTCACGGAGTTGCGAGCTGTAAGCACTTCCTTGGCGAGCCGTTAGGGTTGTTGGCAGTTGTTGGGTCCGATTCCGGTCCGATGGCCTCGAGCTGTGCGTTGATTTGTAGCCGCTCAGCTTACGGTTGTTTCACATGCTACTGGGCTACTACAATTACAATTACATTGCACCACAGTCTTCTACGAGCTTCAGCTTCCACGCCATTATAACATGAGCGCAACTTCTAGTACTCAGCTGTAGCGGCCGGCCAAGTTGTTGTGTTCACCGGCTTCACTAGATCGTAGTTCGCTGACCTAGGAAAAGCATACATTTTGCAACATATGCCATGGGACGAGTCCAGCTCAAACTCGGATGACGGAGGCGCTGTTGCTTCTACAGCTGGGGCTCCTACAGCATCTGGCTGGGGTGATACAGGCGATCGTTCCGGTGAGGTTCAGGTCGCTCCGCCAACCATTGGTTCTGGTGCTCCCGACTTGCAGCGAGGCAGCAGGGGAGGCTGGGATGAATCCTCGGACGAGCCCGACGGGGGAGAGCTGCCAGAATTTACTCCCCGTTCAGCCCCGAAAGCTGGGCAGTCCGGACGGGGCAGACCGGCAGGTAGCTATGGAGATGCACAAGTGAGGGCCTACTTGCGTAATCGCAGACAGCAAGAGCAGGCATCGAACGCAGAGCAACCTCCTCGCGGCAGCATTGAGGCTGCCCGGCTCGCCTTGAGCCAGCAGCGGGAGCTAGGTGGCCAGAAAACGGATGGTTCTGGCACCATGTCTTTGCCTGACTTTGATTCTCGCCAGCTATGCAACCTGGCTGCTGCTGGCTTCTCCGTCCAGCGATGTGTCCTTGGAACCTTCAGAGAAGTTCAACGTCAAGGAGTTGGAGAGCCGGACTCATTGCTTGGTTTCTTCCTTCGCTGTCAATCTTTGACGGTGAGTGCCAAGGCCATGGGCGATATTTTCGGTTGTACACGGACCCACATTTGTCGCCTGCTGCTGAGTACGGCTTGCTGTGTCCTTCAAGGAGCGGCTTGGTTGTGGGGCTTCGCATTGTCTTTGCTGTCAAGACTGTGCCAGGGTGAAGATCCCGAATGGGATCCGGTGCTGTTTTTGGTCAAGACCATGTATGACGAGACTCCTAGCCGGGTCCGTGCGGTGTCCACAGCTGTGCAAACGTGGATGGCGCCGAATGCCAAGAAGTACCCCTCGGAGTATCTGTCAGAAGTCGACCTGCGTGAATATGAGAAGCTGGTGTCTACTGCAGAAACGGGCACCCACGCAAAGGTCCTGCAGACACGCTATATGGTGGGGATGCTGCTTCGCCACCGGGAGACAGGGGCATTCGGCTGGTTCCGTGGGGACGTACCCAGCAGCTTGCAGCTGCTGGACAGAACTACAGCAGAGAACATCCGAGCAGCAGTTTACGATACCATTACTGCCCCTTGTTTGCAATTTGTGCTTGAATGGAGGACTTCCACATGTAGCGCTGTGGGAATGCTTGCTAAAAAACTCAGGTTTTGCCAGAGCTGAACCGCATCAGTTCGCCATTCCGGCTCCGAGTGCGCCACACCGTTACGGACCGCTACACTGCTAACCGAAAGGCGGAGAAGGGTTTAGGCGAGGCAGATTTTACGCCAGGCTGGGTGCGCAATCACGGCCCTTGTGACATTCACAAAGCGGCGTCGGCAGTGAAGTGTGTGCTGAAGGCACTGGAGTGGGACGTCAGTGGTGTTCTGGCCACCGGCTTGGCTCTTTCGGAGATCGGAGCAGCCCGGAAACTCCGACAATGCCTGGCACAATGTTTCGAAGAGAGTCTGAATATCGATCCTCTCCCTTGCCCAAATGCTGATGAGGCAGCGTGGCATCGTCAGTGTGTCTATGACACATTTCTATCAATCGACAAGGCGGCAACACCGCAGGCTCGGAAGCAGAATCGATTACGACGCTTCGTGCTGGAAACGTTTCTCAACTCGGACCTTGTTGGTCCGGCTCCTTTGACGCACCACTGTTCAGCATATGGATGCTGCGCGTCGGAGCAGCACACTCGACAATACTTCAACGAGCAGCTGGGCTGAAACATGTTGCGAATAAGACGGTAGCTGTGTGTGTGTGTCTCTGGCTGCAAATACGAGTGTTTGACACTGTTGCGTGAGCGAAGTTTGTCTTGTGTTTTCGCATGTTTTGGTTTCGGTTGGGTGTCTCTGGAGCCTCGTCAACGGCTGCATTTGTCAGGTTTGTGTGCTGGGCACTGGTGCCCGTGAAGATGCCGGTCTACAGCAGGAAGGATTGGAGACAGTCCGCCGAAGCTGTGGACTGGGTTGGGATACTGGCAGCATATG